GACCAGAAACTGAACATCACATTCGAGCAGGACAACACGCAACCAAAGCAAAAGAGATATTTTATGTTCTAGATGTGCAAAGATGGCTGAGTCGTAACCCAAAGGACAACTTTGATCACAGCAAAGTTTTATCTATGGGTACCAGAGTAACAGGGGCTGAATACAAAAGTATGTCAAACATTATATAATTGTAACAAATTGCAATACTAGCATTAGCATGTTGCTGACAGCATTTCATGGTAGCATAATACTAACGCTATGATCAAATAACGTACTTACGGGTTTAAATAAATGTTACACAACATTGTTCCCCTCTATGTTCTTGTGGGTCACAGTAAAGTCAGCCCATTAACTCATTAGGAGCAGACACGACTGCATGTTTCCACATCAGCCAGCGAGATAAAATTAGGACTCTCGCACTTAAATAATCAAGGGATTTATAATTAAGTTTTATGTTTGCGTCTGTGGAGACCAGAAGCCAGCAGACCAAATTAAAACCTGTAGTCGCCATGTTTGAAATGCAGCACAGACTGGAGGTGAAGGTTGAGGTGAATTAATTATTTAAGGTGCTGTTTCTTTAAGATTACAATGTCAAGTGTGGGTGTGTGGCGCTGTGGTTCCATCAGTTTTTGGTTTTTTTTTTGACAGGAAATCTGATGAAGATATGTCAATACGAGTGGGCTATCGAGTAACTACTCCAGTTTGCTTTGAAACGCAGATAAAATGTGCAGAAGTTTACATTTTGGTCCGTTACTGTCAAAAGCCACACATGTGTGTGTGTGTGTTCGAATCCGGCTCTGTGTGTTTAGTACATGTGCCGTATTCCTGACCTCTGATCACAGAAAGTATTTTAATCCAATCAGCTTCGTTTTCACATGACTGTCACACACTCGCTGCTGCCATGGTAATGTGCAGAGGAAGGAAAGAAAGCGCTGGAGAGAAACACCAGGCATGTTGTCGCCTCTTTAATCACAGTGAAATTAACACACACTAACACTCATTACACAAGGTTTTATGTACTTTTTTTTTTTTACAACGGTGGGGGCTTCTTCTTCTTCTTTTTTTTTTTTTTACCTTTACCACCATATTTTCACTGTTTGGTTGTGATGAGGAATTGATTGAACGCAGACAACAAAATTGAAGGTTCTGGGTGCACTTTTGTCCTTTCTTACTTTTTGCGGAACCGGCAAGATTCTTGCGGTTACATTCAGACACGAGCCACATCCAGGCTTAGAAGCGGAGAGAATGGTTGGGCAATGGGCAGCAGACACTGAAAGTAAGAGGAAGACAGACAGGATGGACGAAACTGCAAGACGCCAGCGCTGTCGCTCACTGCGACGCATTTAGGAGCAAACCGTGGATTAAAACAAAAGAGAAACTTTCAATGCCATGAAGAGAGGCTTTTGCAAAAACAGCCCCCTGAGCTGTTTTAATGGAACATGATGACGGAGAGAGATTAATGTGATCACAACAGTGACAAACTCAACTTCCCTTGAAAGGTGAAAAGGTTAGCCTGTGCCCTGTGGTTTGCTTTTTTGGCACGCTACCCTCTGCTGCTTCTCATTTTTTCTCTGACATTTCCTGTTCTATCTCAAGTTGAAGACTCAGAGTGCTACAGTCTGAGAGCCAGAAGTTCTTGTTTGCAACATCTGGGTTTTATCCTAAACTGCCACTGCACTATATAATACTTTATTATTATGATTAAATCTTGCTTCACATACGATTTAAAGTGAAGCTAAAGGCATCAGCTGTGGAGGGAGGACGATTTTGAGCCCTGTGTTGCAGGTCCCTCTGTGCAGCCGTGAGCAAAGCACTCTACCTGCTGGACAAAAGTAGCATGAGCAGGCTGTTAAAACAGAGCGCCTGGACGCCATTAGTTTGCTCGAGGACAAGATCGTGAGGAGAAGTTGCTCTGTGAAACAACTGAGAGACAGCGTATGTCCTTTTGCCCAACAAAACCTGTTATTGGAAAATGTAACGCACACTGAACGTTAAGATGCTGCGCCTCGGAGGATACGCTGACTCACAAAGTTTCATTTTCATGAGCTTGTCTTTACGCTGTAGTTTTACTTAAATTTCCCCCATTCCATGTCAAAGGTCTTTCCTGGAAGCATTCTGCATATTTTTAGAACAATGGTTCACAAACAGTGAGCTGAGAATATTTAAGTAAATGTCTTTTATTCTGGAAATCTGACAGTAATCAAACCTGGGTAATTCCACAGACATTGAACTAAAAAAAATGGAGATAATTACAGTTAACAAAAAGATTTAATAAGGAGGTTAAAGCCAAGGGGGTGATTACTTTCTTTCAAAGAGCCAGAAGAGTTTTAAAAACTTTTTCCCTTAACGAACGAAATCCTCATTTGAAATCTCAACTGCACTTTTAGTTTACACAGGTAGAATTGTCTTGTGGTAACATGAGTTGGACAAACTAAAACTTTCAAGTGCTGTTGGCTTCAGTCGTTAGGATTACATTTTTATTCGTCAGATCAGGAATCTTCAGCCTGCAGCTCGGAAACTGTAAGTGGCTGTTTCATTTAATTTCATTGTGGTAATATAATAAAAGACAAAGTATTAATCTCTTATTGTTTGTTCCCATGAAAGATTGCTGACCACTGGTAAATTTGATGCAGAACTGAAACTCAGTGCCACCCAAAGGTTATTAGAAGCCCTCAGTCTTGATGCCTAATTGAAAAACTAGATTTAATAATAAACTCTTGAAATCAATACAAATTAAAATGACTGACAATAAAAATGTTTTGCATATTTACTGTGAGAAATATTCTAAAAATTTGCTCCAGCAAACATATTTATTTGCTACAACAGATATTTAGCATATTTGCATTACTTGGAAATATGTTATATTTGCGCTACAAATACAGCAAATATGCAGTACAAATAATGTGCAGCATGTTTCTTCAACAGAAACACTATTTCCATTGAAGAAGTGCTGCTCAATGGATAGAAGTACTACGACTTTGTTTTAAGTGGTGTATTCGAAACATTTCTATTCATAAATGAACTGAAGTTGGGGTTACCTTGTGGCTCAAAAGATGGCCATTTTTGAGATCCTCTTCTTCAAATAATTCAAAGAAAAAGAATCGGTTCACAGATTAAATGGCTTGCGCTTCAGTGAAAAGCGTCTGTTTCAACCAGTGGCAGTTTTTAGCGCTGATCATTTCAGTCTGGACATCATGATAAGGATCAGCTTAAGTGGAGGCCCTGTGACAGACAGGAGGCACATTTAGTGTGAATAATTTTAGTCATAAAACAGAAAAAGAGAAGATGTGCTTTCCTGCTCAGAGTAGAGATAGAAATAGTTCAGCATGAATCCACTTTGAGTCACTTTTGTGGGTTCAATTAATGTCCTCTCCACTTAAATGACTAAAATAGTGTTATAATTACTTCATTTACCTCGCACAGGTATTAACACCTGACTAGCTTTTTGTCAGTTTGCTAAGTGCAAACTATGCATCCATAGATCAAAACTGAACCCAAACACAACAAGAATGGTAGAAATGTAACACTGCCCATCACCTTGAACATGTCTGTCTGCATGGTATTGGCAGCATTATGCTGTGGACTTGCCCTTTCTCGACATTGGTTCAAATTCAATTAAAAAAAGCTTTATTGATGCCAAAAAGGGAAATTAAAAATTAGTGCAACTCATTTAATTAAAGAGTTATTGTAGCAGTTTGTATCACAACGAATCCGAAGAAGCCTCTGACTGAAGACATTCTGTTTCTCTATGACAGTCTCATGAAGAGGATGCTGAGGATTATTCATAATTTTCTTTGCACCAACAGTAAAGTTGAGACTTAACGCAGAGTTTCAAAGCCTTCCTTCAGATTAAAGCGTATAGTGCAGCATGTAGCATATAGTGACGTTTTCTTCCTCATCTCAGCAGTTCACAGACTCCAGATGTGCAAGTTTAGTCGAGAAACAGCCCAGCAGACTTTTATCTGTAATTGAAGTGAAACTCGGTGTAGAAGAGCGATTACTATCTGAAGCACGGATTAATGTGGTTGAACAACTCAACATTTTTTGATTGGCTGGGCTCATTACTTTGACAGACAGTTTGCTTCTTATTTACTTCCAAGAGTTCAATACCGGTCATGTATCACCAGTCGTACTTGCAAACTGACTCCGAATGTCAATTGATCAAACACGATAACTTCAGACGTTTAATTAACTCCTCAGGCGCTACAAAGTTAAGATTATTTTGGCATTTATTCTGCATACAGTTCATGGGTGCTATTAAATCAGACAGCACTTTCCATTTCTGTTTAGTTCCAACTTATTAATCTCAGCTACAAAAAGGAAATGCAAAAACGTTAAGAAATGGATGACCTAGATTGCAGCTTTAAGTAATTTAATAACTTACTACACAGAGGCTGGTGGAAGTGATTTCAATTATGGTAAACCTAAAATTTTGAATACTCTCAGAAGGTGACCATAAAAGCTTAATGTGATAAGAAATGACTGAATGAAAACTTGAGACAGAATTGGTAAAAAAAAAAAAAAAGAAAATCTGGTGAATATGTTAATTCAACATCTTAAAGAAAAAAAAAAAAAGGTTGCCTTGTTAGAGATGCACCGATCAGGCTTTTGCAGTTTTCTCAGGGTCAAACCTACCAATTTCAGTATTTTTTTTCTCTCCAAATAATATAAATGTCAAACCGTCTTGTATGCTTGATTTACGAGATGTAAATAAGTGTATCCTGTCAGAGTTCACCAGAACAAATCCTTTAAAAGCCCCGATCTGCTGTTTGCACATGGTGGAAAACCGGTCCGATTTCTTTCTGTGGTGGATGGATCGGTGCATCTCCAGCGCTGCCCTCTGCGCACAATAAGAAGCGCCTTCATGACGCATGCAAGTGTCTTTACCTTGTCATAAAATGCTGAAATTAAGGTGGGAATTTGAGCCAAATTACGCTGTAGCTGCAAATGATCTTAATCACTTTTAGTGTCATTAGCGTCCCCTAAAAAAAGTGAAAAAGCACAATAAACAGAAAGTTTTATTTACTTGCCTGAACAGTAGGAAGTTCTGCATTTTCCTTTGTTGTGTCTATTATGCACCTCTATTTAGGTTTTCTTATGAATTCAGAGTATAATCTGTAAAGCTATCCTACTATAATCATATAGAAAATTAACAGAATTGCCAAAGTTATGTGATCAGGCTTCTAAGAAAAAGAAATTGATTAGTTTCTTTCTTTTGTATAATTACATACAGAAGCTTCAGCCACACACTCCTTTATAGTACAGAAGAGCTTTAGAAACTTATAACACAGGAAATTTTCTTTTTTTTTTCTCTCATCACTTACCCACAAATCACCTTCAAAAACAAACAACCCACATACACACAGAGACTCGCATGTTTACTCATTTCCTCTGAAATGTGGGGCAACTTTAAGGATATTACTGTACGATAATAATAAAACAAAGCATCCGGACATCATTTAGCTTCAGATCAGACACCCGCTTGTGGACAAGGTGAGGACAGACAGAGCAGTGGGACAGTATATCTGTAAAGTCTCCGTCAGAAGCAGGGATCCTGTTGTTCATCAAAAGCGGAAGCTTCTTTTTCACGTCTGCAGACTGCGCTCGGCTCATTTTCCACTTCTCTATCTCCTTCCTTTTCTCCTCCTCTTTCGTCACTCAGAGCCACCAGAAGCGAATATAAACGATGAGCATGATGAAAAAGACGCCCCCTGCTGCCAGCTTGGCGTAAGTGGAGCGGGTGTTCAGGTATTTGGCGTCGCTCCTGTATTTCTTCGACAGGCTGGACAAATTGCTGGCCTTTGAGTCTAGCGCTGTGCGAGGAAGATGAGGGAGAAGATGATGAGTGCAATGCAAAAGTGGATTTTTTTTTTTTTTTTTTTTATGACATGAGAGCAAACGCTCAACTCACCAGAGAGCGCCTCCCCTCTCTGCAGGACCTCCTCGATGTTAGCCACCATGATCCTCTGCACGTCCTGCAGCTCCGTGTTGATGCTGCCCAGGTTCCTTCTGGCTCGGCTGTCGATGTACAACTTCTTGGTTTTCTGAATGTAGGTGTCTGAGGAAACGGCATGAATGAGCAGATTCCTGCAGTCCTACCTTGTGGTTAATCATGATGCTCAGACTCATAACTCTGTTTGATCATCTTTTTTGTCCTCATTTGATCCTCAGAGTTAGGGCTGCAGCTAACGGTTATAAAATACATTTCAAAATTTTATTTTGTCAATTTTAAGTCTTTCATATTTAATTTCAACCTTTTGTGAATTAGCAAAAAAAATCACAATAAACTCAAATGTTCAAGGATGGGAAAAAAATATATTGTCAGTTCATCAATTACAGCTCAAAATTGTAATGACATTCACGAGCATAAGAGTCAATGTCTGACCAAATATATTAATATTAAAAAAATAATCAATTTGCTGTCAGTCATACTGTCAGAGTCTTCTGTTTCTTACCAAACTCGATGAAGGAGTAAGGACGGGATACTGTGGGGACCTTCTTTCCGTGCTGCTCATGAAACTCTGCCTGCAGGTCTTCAAGGTACGCAAAGGCCAGCTTCTTGGAAAAGCTGGCTTCTGACAGCACAAGGTAGCAAACTCCTTGCTCTATGAAATAGCTGCGGGGAGAACCAAAACGTGGATCATGTTAAAAACTCAAAGCGGCAAAGGAGAAGGAGAACGAAGTATCGAGTGTGGAGTAAGTGAAGCTTGTTCTTTGTTTGTGTAAATATTGAAGATGAGGATGGGACTCATCTTCCTAACTGTGATACCAATCCAGGTAGGAGCGAAGGAGGCAGCCGAAAATAAACAGCGAAAACAAGTTGCCAAAAAAATAAAAAATTAAGATTTTCAGCTTTTGTTAAGGCTTGATGTGTTGATTCTGTTTATTTTTATTGGACTTCTTTTCCTTTTGTAGAAAAGACATAAAAGAAGTTAGACAAAAATAAGTGGTTTGGATTCCTCAAGAGATCTAAATATAAAAGGAAGCTAAAATAAACACTTAATTTGGTTTCCTCTTTCTGTTTATCTTAAAAATAGACTCACTTGTTTTAATGATGCAATATTCTGAACTGCTATAAATTAGTTTAGTCTCTGTACGGATTTAGCTTCACTGTCCAGTTAGATTTCTGAAAACAATGATTGGGTTTTGCTTCATTTGGCATTTTTGAAAGAGAAAAAAAAAACTAATGGGAACAAAGTATAGCTTTCTGTTTTGTTTTAAAAAACAAAAAACTCAATTCATTAAAAAAAAACCAAAACATTATTTTGGCAGTCAACGTGGTTCGCTAAACACATCTTCAGACTCACTGAAACGCCATCGACCCGGCCTCTAAAGTGCAGCGTGTGGGACTCTGTTCGTTGAGTTTCCTGAAAAGCTGCTTGGCCTGAGTCTGATACTGCTGAAGGTCTCGACCCACCTGAGGAAAAATAGAAAAAAAAAAAAAAAAAGGAAGCTCTTATCAAACAACTTGCAGATTATGTTAACCATAAAACACTTGGATGCTGATTTTATGAGCACCTCGACGGAGTGACTGCACAAGCAAATGTCTCTATGAAGGGATAATGGCAGCTCAACTACTAGGAAGAAAAACAAAAACTTTTTTTTTGTTCTACATTTGCTCTTTATTTATTTAGTTTTTTGCCTTGAGAATGGATTTAAATGAAAGACGGTGCTATTTCTAACGGTGAGTGCAGGGCCGTTTGGGCTGGGTTGGGTAACGATAAATGACAGCATTACCACTGCAGCATCACAGAAAGACAAATGATGAAGCACAAAGCAGAGACACAACAAACCTTCTCGCTTCCCTTTTTGAAAGCACACAAGAAAGTGAAGAAAAGCATGTTAAACTCTTGTGAAGCTATGGACAAAGTAAAACAAGCTCATTGTGTTACGGAGGCTCCGAGGCAGTTCTCAGATTTGAAGTATATTTTAAAAGTTCTTGATTGTCGTCTGGTCCTTTAGTCTAAAATGACACAGCACAACTTTTCATAAGAGAAGCAAGATGACGTCAACATACCAATACTGACCTCTGGAGGCCCATATAGGTAAAGCTGTGTGAATGCAGCTGTGCTGTGTGTGTAGTTTTAACAACTGTAGTTTTTAAACATTTCTATGGTGTGGAGAAACATTTTACATTTATTAACAATTGCATTAAATTTAAGAGAAAGGTAGAAATTTAGAAAGATAACCATTCTTTATAACTTCTGCAACCTGGGTTGTTGTGTATGACGCTATGGAGCAAATTACGTCTAATGGTGAGAAACCATGCTTGGTTTTGTCAGTGCTTCAATTGATCAGTTTTTTTTCCCGTCTTCTTCTCCACTTGCTTTCTGAGAATTGAGCACAGCATCTCAGTGGAGTTAAGATTGCGAGGGTTCCTTGGAAACAGATCTATAATGTCGCTGAGATTAACAATCAGTCAGTTTGTTTTACCTGTAACATTATTTCTACTAATGGGAGAATGCACCAACTTCTAAAAGGAAGTTGTACTTGAACGTCACTTTGACATTTTATTCGTGGTAGTTCTGTCAGCCATTGTGAGTAAGAAACACAAGACCCATAATACCTTTTCTAAAAAAAAATCACGATAAAAGTTTCAGTCCGTCCTTGATTTAAAGAATCTGCTTCTATGTCGCTGAGGTTTCTACTTGCATTGTACATTTAGAGGCCGAAATGCTTGTTTGTTCATTGTGAAATAGCTCAAATTTAGTCAAGCTGGACTGGGAAAGGCCATTTTCACGTCTAACTACGATTCTCAATCAGGTGTGCGGCAGCAGGGAAAACAAATAAAACATTCAGGACAGCGGGTCCTGAGGATCAAGATGGAGAACCCCTGACTTAAACCATTTTACCAGAGATCTGATGTACGTTTAGGGCTGTTGATCTGCAAACTCCACCCATGCCCCTTCGTCCTGTGTAAAGCTCTAGCCATCTGACGGTAGCAAAAGTTACAATTGCAGTACATGCCGCACTTTTCAGATTGTCATTAAAAACAATGAGTTTTCCTTCCATTTTGACTTGGTCCATTTCATAAAATCCCAGAAAAATCCATTGAAGGCACTGGATTTATCACACCGACAGATTTATGTATCGATTTCAACGACTCTACTGAAATTAAGTTAATCATTTTGTCTCAGCGTTGGAAATGACACACAGAAAATTGGTTTTAACAATGAATGCAATAAACTAAAATAATCTTAATTGTTCAAAATCTAAACTTAAAAACTTACAAGACATGATTGTACTACGACCGTCTGCAATTGAATCCATATTTCTTCAACATTTCTTGCAATGTGATTTAAAAGTATGTGCCATAATTTAGAAAATGAATATTAAGTCCCCGGTTTTTGCAAATTATGTAAAGGCAGATTTCTTTCTTTTTTTCTTTCTTTCTTTTTTTGTTGTTGTTGTTGTTACATTAAATATTTATCTGCAGTGCTGTGCTACCATTCCTAGTCAGCTTATTCATCAGATCTGTTAATGGAAGCTGTTTCATTTCATTTGTCAACAAAATCTAAAACCTCTGATCAGAAGATTTCACACGAAGAGAGACTGATTAGTGTTGTGGGTTATAAGCTACCTGGTAGGCAGGCCTACCTCCAGTGGTCACTCAGCTGATCAAACAAAGTTTAGCCCCTTTAGCCACTTATAATGAGATCTGAATAACTCGGGATCCTCGCATCTGCTCCCCACGCCTAAGATGGTCACATCTGATCTTTGTCAGCTAACGTGTCACTGTTTCACATCCCCAGAGACATCAGCAGCAGCAGAGGTAGAAAGGTTGAGAAATAGACCTGCTCGTCCTCCTGCATTGAAGCGGCCAGCGGCAGACCGTCCGCCAGCCGAGCGATCATCGTCAGCAGCAACATCTCTGCGAAGTGTCCCGCTGTGAGTCCACGGCCCGGAGAAAAGTCCCAGCAGCAGCGTTAGCCTGACGGGCTGGCTGTAAAAGTGACAACACCACAGGAGAGACGCGCTGAGCTGGCCGGAAGCGCCGCAGCCTTTTAGCGTCACAGTCAAATGCCGCCGATGCGGAAATGAATGCGCTCACGAATAAAGTTCCGCTTCACGTTAATCCCACTCTGAGGTTGTGAATGTGGAAAGTTGGGACAGAGCTGCAAAATAAAATAAGTCGCCAGAAAAAAATTAATGACATAAAAAACAAAACAAAACAAACAAACAAAAAAAAAAGTATTTTGAATGTCTTTAATGAAGCGGATCAGACCAATGAGTGAGAGTAGCAAGAGATATATTACTGCTTTTACTCAGTATCTGGTTGTGAAATACGACAAAAAATACAAATAATAGTAAAAAGTTTCCAGAATCCAGGCAACAACAACAACAAAAATGGAATATCGTCCTAGAAATAAACCAAAAAATATGCTCTTTTGTAGCTTTTACAAAGAGAAGCTTGTTTCATCAATGAGATTCAAGCTGTTACTTTATTGATTTGTCTCAGACAGAATTAATCCATATTATTAAAAGAAAAACCATTAAGAAAAAAAGAAGACACAACCTCCTATAGGCTGGATCAAGGATTTTAAACAATCTGAGCTTGTGAATTCAAAGCAATGAAGAAAAGGGCAAGAGCAAGAATCACAAAAAAATATTTATTAGAAATTTTTTTCAAAAACTTTAAAACACATATCATTCAGTTAATTTCCCTTTTATTTCTCAATAAACACAAATTCACCAATCAACAGTAAAAATCAACATGTTATGATCTCCTTGATGTTTGGTAGGAATGTTGTTTTACATAAAAGTATGACCAAATTTCATACATTGCCCTCACTTTCATGGTTCACGTCAGTCGACTCTTTCAATGTAAAGATATTGCATTAAAACAGAAAAAATAAAAATGTTGACCTGTTTCTAATGGAGCAAAATGTGGCTGAAATTAAACCTGTTTTCATAATAAGAATGAGAATTAAAAAAAAAAAAAAAGAAACTTCCCAGAAAGTCAGTTTGATCACTCATTTAAGCAGTTAAAAGAATCACTACTTTCTAGAAATGGTCCAATATTAGAGAACAGAATAGAAACTAATTTACCTAAAAAAATTGTAACATTTTACATTTTTCCAAAAATACATGTGCACTCACCATTCACCCCCGTAAGTGATGGGATTTGGTAATAGTAGAATCTGATACCAAACAGCTGGTTAGGTGTTATGTGTGAAAAATGGAAACTGGCCTCATTGTTGCAGTACTGTGAGCATAATCAACAGTTGTTCGTTTACAGGAACATGGTAAAAGATGAATTCTCGTTGAAACTGAACAAGCTGAGACACGCCAGACGCTAGACAAAAATGCTGCGGTATTTCTGTACGATCAGCTGAGCGAGATCAGGACAGCATGGCATCAAAGGGAGTCGAGGCGGTCCAAGATGCAAACCTGACACCTCGGCCATCAGCTGCTTGTTTACTCCAGTATCGAAACCTGTTGACACATACACACACCAAAATGGTTTTTGATACAGTTTTCTGGCGAATTCCTCAGTCTGATTGCATTTTAAAGGTGAATTTTGCGGTTATCATTTACCACGTTTTATGGCGTAACTCACAAGTTCTTGGATTTTGAACTGGATGTAGAAATCAGACCAGAATTTAAACAAATATGTCAGAAACATGACAGGAGAGTTTATTATGACAAAGTGAAGAGGGACAGCACTACCTGAATGGTTCGGGCTTTGACTAGATCTTTAGTCTCAAAGGCTGAAATCATCTGGTTGAAGTAGCATCCCACATAGTTATATGTACTGCCGGAAGATAAATGTCAAAAAATTTAATAATTGAACTAAAGCAAAGAATTATGAAAGTGAAATTTTACTAACCTGCCAACACCTCCATTAGCTCCCATTGCCAGACCAGCTAGCAATTGCTGCAGTAAAATATTATAAAAGATATTTAGTTTTAGAGTGATGATCTGTGAGGTTTATGTTGAATTGAACAATAAAGCAGTACACGGTGCCTTCAAAAAGGAATGCATCCATGATACATTTTTATATTTTATTGAACAAAATCATTCATTTAAAGAGAGATATGTCATTTGTTAACCCCAGTAAAGACGTATTCAAACCCCTTAAATCAATTAATATTTTATTGCAGTGCCATAAACACACACTGAAAATTTGAGGTAAATCTGCAGAAAAATTTGTTAAAAAAATTTGTTAAACACTTCCAGTGTCCAGATGTTTAAATCAGCTGCAAAGCACAGAGAGAAGCACATCATTCCAATCAATGTGATCAAATGATTTAAACACCTTTAAAGTGCATATTAATTCATACTGGCACTAAAAGCAACAGGAACACAAGACCAGATGAGTATGCGGGGAAGGCTGACCTCATCCACACCGTACAGGAGTGACCAGTGCGGCTGGCTGTAACTGACACACTGACCAAAGTCCAACAGGTCGCTCCCACTGAACTTTACTCCTCTGAAGGAGGGAATGAGATTCTCAATGTCTTCTATCACATCTCTCACTGGAACTGAAGAAAACAGGAGGGGGGGGGGGGATGTCAAATTTACGCAGTAGACACCAAAAACAAATTCAGCTCTATATAACTTTACTGCAAAGCATAAATCAAACCACTCACCATTCACCCCCGTAAGTGATGGGATTTGGTAATAGTAGAAGGGCAGAGTTGGAGCAGCTGAAGCAACTTCCTGCAGAAATCTCCTCAATGCTTCTGAAACAGGATGAGCAAGAAACAACACAGAAATGGATGGATCCTATTGTGAATAAAACAGCATTGGTACCTAAATTAAATCTGGAGGCAGAAGCTAAAGTCCTAGAGAATGAGAGATTGAAAGAACGGTGTGTGTCACACCTGCAGTTCTGGGCTTAAAGAAGGAGGGAGAAATGACCGCTATCCCGTCAGCTCCAATCTCTGCTGCATGACGAGCCTTCAGTGGAAAACAAGTTTAGTCTGGTAACTAGAGTGAAATTATACTGTGATTCTAACACCTTGTTGCGGCACACTGTTGATCAACTAGCATAAAGAAGGCTTAACGCACACGCAATCACAACAAAGACATATTCAGCCATTTGAAAGTCCGAAATAAGCGTAACACCGGTGTGTATAAATATCAACATAACAATACAGCAGGCTGTGGAGTTACTGATGTAAGCTTAGCTCAACACTTGGTTTGTTGGTGTGTGGTAATTTGATTTCATCTCGCATTAGTCGACAACTTACCAGATCCTGGGAGTCTTTGAGGCTCATGCATCCGACATGTATAATCACGTTGTCCATTCTGTTAAGAGAACATTTCAGATTTTAATGTTTGCACCTGCTAAATGCAAATGAAAACAAAACAGCCAACCAAAGCGCAAGATCACTCACCTTCCCTTTGCTCTCAGGCACCACTCCTCTGCCAGGTCCTTCCTCTCTGCAACAGAGAGAGACATGCTCTCTCCGGTCGTGCCATTGACTGGAAGGAACATGAGGCACGTCTTATTCACACACAGTGGTTGACGTCAAAGTATTTCTTTCTCACGGTGGCGCATTAATCTAAACGTTAGTCTAAATGACTGTTTTGGTCAGTGAGGATTGCTAACTTATTTATTTTTGCTAATCTCCCAAAAAAATAAAAAAAAAAATAAAAAAAGAGGGAAGTTTCTTTGAAGAACTTTTACCAGTAATTTCCACAGACTAAGATAACTGCACTTTCAAATTGCTAGGGAAAACAAGGATAATCTTATGGCTTTGTAATCCACTGACATGTTAATTGACCATCAATGACTCCAGTGAGATATATGAAGCCTGGATAATCTAACTAATTGGAGTTGCAACATTTAATTCGGCTTTGTAAATTAATATGTATATTATGAATCGCTGGTTGTAAAGTCTCAAATGCACTGCTTTCTTGTTTGATATCATGGAAAAATAAAACATAAATCACCCCAGATGTCTGGAATACAACTGTTTCCTTTCACAAGTCTGGTTAATCCTAACAATTTTCAGATGTCTAAAGGTTCTAACTTCATTCGGAAGCCAACATGTTTAGTGACAACCCTAGGATGAAATCAAAAGACCTCAATGCTGGCTGAAGCAGGTGAGAGATTGGGTTTCTCCACAGCGCAGCGATTCCAGTACCGACAGACAAAGGAAAAAGCCATTGCTCCAATAGCAACAGCGAATGCATGTTGCAAACTAAAATTCAAATGCTTTGCTTTATTGACCATCATAACATTTGGAGGAAAGGGCAGGAGGGTTACTTCACTCTTAATGCGAGATATGCATCTGGAAGATGAATTCTTTTGTGTTGACATATCAATCAGATATATCAAGTAGCGATCTATTGTTAATATTGACTCAAGTGGGAACATAAAAGAGGACAAAGGTCAACAGAAGGAATCCCACTTTTAACACTTTTAAACTTACCGAATATGCCCTTTATACCTTGCTTTTCTTTCAAGTAGTCAACATAAGGTCCAATCACTGATAAGTTGACCTCACTGTTTCGAGAAAATAGGAGAAATACAGTCCTACATATATGGTGTAATACATAATCAAGCAGAAACACCAAACTCCACGTCATGATGGTCACATATCATGTCAGATCTTTACACACACACGTGCATTACACACGCACACAAATATCAATCAGCGCTGCTATGGTCTGGACTGATTGAAGAGCTTCTGAAGGTTCCTTACCCTTGAGCGGTCAAAGGAGTGAATGTGGCAGCAACCAGACCTGTCACCTTTCTGTCATCTCCAGGAGCCATGGTTAAGATAACAAGCTAACCTGACAAACATAAAGATAAAAGTAAAAAGGAAGTAGAACTAAACTGAGTTTAAAAAGAAAGCCATAGGTCTGAGCTTCCCTTTATTTTGAGCATAAAATACTAAATACTAAAAAGAATACTAAAGCATCTACTCAGTTCAAATACAAGAAAATCCCAACTTTTTTCCACTTATTTGTTCTTCTTCCAGTTTACTTCTGGTAGTTTCCAAAACAACTTGAGAGTATGTACTGTCATCTACTGTGAAAAACTGTGAAATAGCATGCCAACCCATGCTTTTGTGTTCTCCCTAAACTACTAATCTGCTCCTTTTGATCGCTGCTCTTTTTTCACGTTTTAAAGCTGATTGTCATCTATTTTAAAGTCAATTTTATCAGCAGATTCAATTCCTTGTTTGCTGATGACACAAAACAGAACTATTTATCTATATTAGTCCTTTTAGTACAAAAAATGCTAAGAAATTGTTCAACAAGATGCTCTTGTTGTGTACACTGTAGCATTTCTGAGATGGCAAGAGTCTGATCACATGACCTTCTTCTCTGACCTGACCTCTTTGTCCCCCTGCAAACCAAAGATAACAGTGAAGATATCTGTTGCAAATATTTCCAACTGATAAGACACTCTTTCCCATATCGATGTTTGAATTAAAATTAATCTATGCACGTTCTCTACAGTTTTTAGACGCACCTGTGTTGATTTTAAGTAACTGAAGTTAATATTTTCCAGATAACTATTTGTTTTATTTCCCGAGCTAAGTTTACCATGATTTTTAATAACCAAAACTTAATTCCTTTTTAAGTTTTAAGTCCCCAAGTTATTTAACTCTGTTCTTTGCTCTGATTGTGCCTCTCCTTTTTCCAGTGTTGCATTATAGGATGTAATTTTATACCTTCAATGTCTGTAATATAGTGGGATCGCAGCAAAGCATTGAGCAGCAGCTCAATTTAAATGTAGAACTATTATGAGTTTTCTTTATAGATGTTTAATGTATTTTTTTATACAACAATAAGCCCCAAGTATTCAAGTACAGAATGCTTCTCATTAGTGGGCTCTATAATATTACATCAACACAATCAGTTATTTTTTTTTCCCAGTAGTGTTTACGGAGACCTTAAACTACTGAACTATATTCCTCTTCTTTCTCCACCATCAGCACATTTAGTGTTTCATGAATGCTCTTTTAAACTTTTTGAATGTTTTGTTGTTATTTCTCCATGGCTTCTCTGTTGCTCTCCTTCTTCATGATGTTGTTTGTTAATGTCTTCTAAAAAAAAAAAACCCTCTGAGGCAACAACATTTTTCAGAAACTTGGTTGAACTGCAGTCTTCTGGAATACATATAAAATATTCAACCTGTAAAAAATTGCATGGCATAGTTTGTCTCATGTGCCATCTGCGTGTTCTGTAATTAAAATTAGATTGATTTACAATTTAATTTTTATTATGTGCACATTTATTCACGCATTTTGCCATTTTTTTTTCACTATTCTCTCCACTCTTTAATAAATGTTACATTTCCACACCATTTTCCTTGCCTAAATACTTCCTGTAGTCATATCCTTTCAAAATGTCCTGACTCTGGGCTTTGCTGCAAAAACATGAGACAATAAAGCTTGCGTCCGCTCACCAAAAACGTTAACTAAGCATTTTTGAAGCCATTTCGGTTTTATTAGAATACGACACTGTCTTAGTGAGTGAAATTTAACATGCACAAGATAGTGAAAAAACAAACAAACATCTGATTTATCAGTCATGATGTCAGAGGAGAATACTGACATCACCTAATAAAACAAAATAAATAAAAACACAAACGTGTGAGTGGTTTTGAGTATTTTAGTGATCATATATAATTAGTTTAATCTTAGTGCATTAAAGAATAACAAGAAGGGACAACTTTAGACCAAACATGTTTGTGGTAAATCATATAACCAACATTCTATTTATTCTATATAGAATACATAGAAAAAAGCATGGACAAACAATGCAGTTTCTGCAGTTTGTTGAAACATTTGACATACTTAACTCTCGTCATACCTTTGCTTGTGATCGTCAATCAGTCCTCTGGATAAATGCCACTTTCTGGAATGGAAGTTACTGTTTATACTTTGCTCAGCCGGATTTTTTTATTCGCCAGGGATTTGTTGGTTTGCTAGTCATGTGAATCTATCTGAAGTGTCAACTGACACCTCAATGGCTCATGGGATATGTAGTTCCAAAGTAACACCTCCGAAAAAAACGCAAAGTGCACACAAAATTTATCCAAATATAAATCCGATTTTATGTATCTTACCTTTCGATACGTGCACTACAGTCTCCAAATATATATATGGCGATGTTTTCCATTCATGAAACACACACGATGCCTTAAACTGTCGTCAGGATATTTCGCCATTAATGGCTACACTCCAGTAAACAACACAATTGTTTTACAAATCAAAGTATTGCACAGAGCTATTTACATTTTTACGTTCTGAGCCTAAAAGTACGAACTAGCACTCCAATATTTTTGAACAATATTGCCAGCAATAGCTCAGATATGCCTGCATAACTCATTTTACATTTGTGTTAATGAATAGTATATTTATCTGGCTTTGTAATGAAGTGAGATCAATAGAGTTAGATTCATGCTATGTGTGTGTGTGAGAGAGAAATATAAACGTGTATACTGGTGGAGACTTAAGGGACTGGAAGGAGCTGGTTATGGTGTTTCCGAGCCGATCTGAAAGGGAACACAACGGAAGGTTACGAAAAATCTAAAATATTAACCCTGAGTACAGACTTGCAGGCGTAGCTTCCGTTTAAGCGGTTTGCCTACATGTGAACCCAAATATATAAAGTAAAAAGCCACAAAATTTTGCAGGTTAAAAACACGTGAGTTTATTTTTAAATTATGATGAGGATTGTGAACGTGGCAAAAGTAAAATTACGCCTGAAAAACTAAGCTCCGGGGTAAAAATAACAAGACGGATGTTGTTGACGTTTCTTTCCGAGTAGTATCCGGTTAGGAAGACGGCTAGTTTCTGAGCGGAATCCTTGTACTCGGTGGATTTACTCACTTTATATTCCAAACGACACGGACCAGCTTCACAGTTTAACAACGTGGACGCTTATTTTCAATATGTCTAGTATTCCAGATAAAGCTGTTGTCATTACTACGGTTCATTATTAGCATAGCTAGCTAATTAAGCTCTGACAAGTGCTCGGCTGCTGACGAAAGACGACACACTGTCAAGCGTAGGAAATAATTAACTAGTTTCTTTAAATGCAAACTCACTGACAATGGGAACGTGTACTAATAGGACTCCCTGGTTTTATTTGGTATGGTTTTTGACTTATTTGATCAATCCTATTTGGTACAAGTGAAGCTTAACGGTTATAAAGATGCTAAAAACAAGGCAGTACGCATTTGTGTTTTTATCGGAGGCCTAAATTACTAAGAGATTTGACTATTTCTTTGTATACTGCACCATGGTGGTCAGTGTCGTAATTAGCTTCATTTAACTGAGTGGGTTTGCTTGAATGCGGTGTATGAGAGTCGGTCTCTTCCTTGTCGCATGGGTTCAGGTGACAGCTCGCAAAGGTAAACAGGACGTGAAACTGCTTGCACTGCTCCGCCTCTCTATTTCATTACTTATAGAAACAACATTCCTCCCAATTTCACGATTGCACTCAGTTGTTGGTAGCTAACGTTTACGAAGACATGGTGCCATGGTGTCCACTTGGATTAGAACAGTGGTAATGACTGAATGTTTTACATAAACTGCAGCTGAGTGCACATTGCTGCGATCATTTCAACACATCACGACATGCCGCCTGTTTTGTGCCTGGTGATGCTCTTCGGAGCATTGTGGTCTTATGGAGAGGCTATGTCGCGGGAAGAGAAGCAAAAGTTTAGGTAAGTTACAGGAACACTGATTGTTGTATGATAAAAAAAAACAAACAAACCTGTTTAATCCTGCAGAATTAAGCACATTTTTGTGGTTTCATCAAAGGAACCAAGTGGTAGAGATGTTTGACCATGCATATCAGAACTATATGGTAAGTTTTGGTCCTACTTTATTACCACCTTTCAAAAGCAGTAAAGTTTGAAGTTTGTGGCACGGAGTTCAAGGAATGTTTGTGTTTATTCTAGGACCATGCATACCCAGCAGACGAGCTGATGCCTCTGACTTGCAGAGGGAGAGTACGTGGCCTTGAACCCAGTCGAGGAGATGTGGATGATGCACTTGGGAAGTAGGTAGCATTCTGCCTTGCTACCCCTTGGCCTTCATTGTTTCAATGGAAACAGTTATGCCGATATGGTCCCACAGAGTCTGGTTTGTTTGCATGCAAGCTGCAAATTTGGATTGAATCTTTATACGTTTGGCATACTTTTTTATAGCACATTCATGGTATAGTTTAACTGATTACGAGAAGCTTTGCAACTTACTTGGAAAAGTACAGTCAGAAAAATTATTTGATATAATAAGAGCTGTGATGAGGGAGTGAAATGCAGTACTGATGTTGTGATATAATAAAGTTTGAGGTTTCTTAAGTCCAACAAAGAAGAGTTTAATTTGCATTTGAACATTTGGATAAACATGAGATGACAAGGAAGTCTTTGTGAAGCTCAGAAAATGAAGACAGGTTCTGCCACTTCACACGAGATTCAGTTCTGACACTAAGATTATAATGTCTGTTTTATGCGTTTTATTTCAGGAAAAGCTTCTATATGTGTTATTTTTGGGTTTTAGTAGATTGCAATAATAACTGTGACATAGAGATGAGCTATTACTTTGTTGTTTTATTTTATTGTGGAAAAAATATCGCTAAATGAATTAGTCTTTCTTTGATAATAATGATAAACACTTCAAAACCTTGAAACTAACAGCGTGATGGGAATTTTTTATTTTTTTAAGCAATTTTTATTCTGTTCAGTCCTTGAGAATGTCGTTATAGGTTGGGTTGACTTTTCAAAATACAACTTAATTTCAACTGTCTTGTGAAGCTTGACAGCTTATTATTTTGTTCTTGGGTTTGCATGAACAGTTTCTCTTGTCCTGCTGGCTACTTGTTTACTTTGTTTTAAGAAAAACATATTTTAAAACAAATCAATCAATTAAAATAGTTAGCAGTTCAGTTGCTCTGCTAGATGTGACTATTGTTCATTTTACTTTTAGATATATGGCAAGTAGGCAATGGATTTCACGTAACTTTTTTGTCATTGCAATACATACTATAAAATGCAGTTATAAAATAAAGTCTAAACTCTGTATTTGCTATTTGAACAAACGCACTCATTAACTTTTTTTTAAAAAATGTGTGTTGATTTGTCTGCCAGGTTTTCTTTGACGCTGATAGACACCTTGGATACTTTGGTGGTGAGTTGTTTCTTATGTTGTTCCTATTTGGCAATCCTACATAAAAATTTTGTAAATTCATTGGGAAAACTATTTGAGTATTGCAGGATTTTTTGCATAAGAATACCTACTGTCAAATTTAAACCAAAAATGTATTAGAACGGCATAATTGAGCAGTAATTCTGTACAAAAACAATTCTGCAAATTACATTATTCCAAATATAAAATTTAAATAAATATAAAAAGTGGGCAGAATCCAGTGTGAAAACGTTTTATCCTAAAAGTCTAGTTAAAAAGAAATAATATTCAAAATGAACCACTTCTTAATAATTGTGGAATTTGACATGTAACAGAATCGATCAAAGCGATCAGAAATGACAAATTCAGCAGAATTCACATCCTCCTAGTTTCTCAGAATTTTTTAAACTGAACTTTATACTGTCTTTTGGTCTGTAACTAAGGGTGATTTTGGGTTATTTCTGCAGCTCCTGAACAAGACGACGGAGTTTGAAGCCGCCGTTAGGAGAGTCTTGTCTGATGTGCGGCTGGACAATGACATTGTGGTGTCGGTCTTTGAAACCAACATTCGAGTCCTTGGGTGAGATCCGTTTGGCCCGCCTATGCAGTTAAAGAAAACAATTTCTTGCATTATTTATTTTAAATTATTGCAGAACTGAATATTTATTACAGTTGATGTAAAATACAAACCAGAAGAGGCAGCCGATTCTATTGTACTGATTTTTACCTGTGGTCTCACAGGGGTCTTCTCGGTGGTCATTCGATGGCTGTGATGCTGAAGGACGGAGGGCAGCACATGCAGTGGTACCAAGACGAGCTCCTGCATATGGCCAAAGACTTGGGACTGCGACTACTGCCAGCCTTTAATACCAGCAGCGGCCTACCTTATCCCAGGGTGAGATTCACTCTCATTCAATTTCATGAGGAGAGAATTTTGCAGTTTTCATTACAGCGTGATAATGGATTAAAAAAAATATTTTTGTGATTATTAGATAATGGCTCAACAAAGCAGAAATGCTAATCTGTGTTGGAAGTAGTTGGTAATTTATTCCAAAAGTAACATTTTGAAATGTTACTTTATCTACATTTGCATGGAGATCTGTCTCAGTTCAAAACTTATTTGCATTTCCACTTCGCTTCACAGACCACAGCTGTTGGAACTCTAAACACATTTTCACGGTTGACTTGGTTTTGTGTGGAGTCCTGAAAATCTTTTTTTAATTCTTCTTCTTCTATTTTTTTATTATTACAAGATAAACTTGAAACATGGTGTCAGGGGTCCAGAGACGAGAACCGGTACGGAGACGGACACCTGCACGGCGTGCGCGGGCACCATGATCCTGGAGTTTGCTGCCTTAAGCCGCTTCACTGGGGACCCTGTGTTTGAGGTACAAATTAATATTCATGAAAATGTTATGCATGATATCCAACCCATAAAATTCCCACAAAACCACTCATAAGTAAACACTAATTTCAGTAAGAAACTGGCCTAATTAATAGAATACAGTAAATTACCTTATGTAATGGATACACAAGTATACGACCTGGAGAATAGATATTTGCACAGGCAGCACTGAAAAGCCGCACCCTTTATGTAACGCAGCTTCTATAATATCACTCTCCCGGGAGATTATGAAATAAGACAGAAATAAGCTAGCTGTTCAAACTTAATACAGTTTCACCCAGATTTGACTTATTTTTACCCTAATCACACCCAGTAATTAGGAAATATGCCTTCGTAAATCTGAAATCTGAAAATTGGCAGCTGTTCAACAAAATGACCTTTATTATGTAGCAATGCATATTAACGTAAGTTCCAGATTTGGTTTTAGGTTTTACTTTCACTCAAACTCTCAAAGCATGAACAAAAATATT